TTGTGGACTGTAAGCTGGAAGTAAAGTCTAGAAGTTATAGCCCAGTTTGCAGTTAAACCTCATACATCTTTTGTTTGGGTGTCATTGCATTGTCTTTGTGCACACTACTTTTAGAATTGCTTTGGCATGTTAGTGGAGTTGCACCAGGAGGATGATTTTTGTTTTCATAGAGACTTGCTTAGGAAATGTTTATAGCTCAGTTTGTACTGAGTAGCACAGATATGAAAAAGAGCATCTGAAAAATAGAGTACTTAACCTTTCGGACACAGATACCGGTTCAGCTAGACAGAACATCCAGTGTAGGTGGAAGGCAGCATGAGACAGCAACGTGAGCCGAGTATACTCCTTTGGACAAGATAAAAGAGAAATCTAATTTGTTCAGCTGCATATAAGCATGAGAGCCTTTCAGCCAGAAGATTAGTGGTGAAAGTCCTTCTAAATTATAAGCAGATGCTAACTTGTTCAGGATTTGTGTGGTTTTACATTGCACTTTTTAAGTTGTGACCTGTATTTTTATTACAATGTTATATTTATCTTTGTGTTAGATTGCCATATAAAAAGGTAGTTAGATTTATCCTGTGGAAGTAGTCACAATGCAGATTCATAGCTAATATCCACTTAATTGTGTAGCTGCATATTCTGTACCTCAGGAGCAATGACTTGTTCCAGTATAGCTCCATGTTTTCAAAAATATATACTCTTTGAGGAGAAAATTGTGTTAGCAGGACAGAGTAGTAATGTTGTACCTCCAAATATATATGGTTTTTTTTTTCTGTAAGCTAAGGGCATTCTGGCCCTACAGTAGAAATAAATCTCCATTCCCTCCATCCAGTGACATTGTTCAAGAGGGACTGGCTAAAATTCTGTCTCCAAGGCCTCGGGAAGGAATTGTCATCAAGGTGGAAGGCAGGATCCTGCCAATCCCTTGTAACACTTCCCTCCTCTCTTCTTCCTAAAAAAATAATAAAACAAAACTACAAAAGTAGGAAAGCGTAGGCATGTGACAATATTTGGGACCTCTTGAGCAAACGGGTAGATTAAATTGGTCTCATCTGCACTGGAATCCTTTTTGTCCCATCTTCTTCCCTGCTCAAGTGTGTATTCTGAGACAGCAATGATGTGGGAGGCCTCAAAGCGTGGAGTTTGTAGCAGACAAAGCCAGGGAAGGTTGAGAGGATCAAGGAGCCATAGAGAAGGCAAGTGCATCCCCAGATGCACCCCCTTTCCTCCACCAGTTGCCCCCTCTTTCCTGAGACAGACACAGATTTTTAGGAGCTCTTTGAAGTCAGAGGACAGATTCCATCTGCTGCCACACGAAGCGGATCTAGATCTAAATGAAACTCAGAGTTTAACCAGTTTTGCAGAGCTCCCCAAGTAAGGACTTCTGGATTCAGTCTGCAGAAATAAACCTCAGGGAACGAGTGGGTGAGTGAGTCAAGTAAAAGATAGGGAGAACAAAGGTGAGATTTTACTTTTCTGCGGCTGCTAAGAGTACTTCCAGTTCAGTGGTACTGGTGCCCACCCTTAAGAATGAAATTAAAAAAAACAATTCCTCAAGATAAGAGTTCCCATATAAGTGTGCTGGACCTGCAGTGCTGGCAAGTCATTGCTTAAGAACAGCTAGTGCCAAAATGCGCGATGAGATTTTCGTTCAGCTGCTGATTAAGTGGATCTACTTCCCCAATCATCCGTCCAATATTCCAATTGAACCAGCAGCCAAGATTCGTGAGGCAAATTTCATTAGCTTGGCGGTGCCGAGCCTGGAGCTGGCATTCTGCTGTAGTCGCGATGGGTGGATGGATGGAAGTCTGCAAGCTGAATTAATAATGCTTCATTATGATGAAATATCAAAGTGTGCTGCAAGGTTACCTTGTGTTGTGTAATTCTATATTCAAAATAATTTAAATTCTTGCTTCAGCTCTTAGTAAATCTGAGACAGCAGCAGCGATGGGAAAAACCTCTCTTAAAAATCCCAAGAATCACACTTGTTTTGGCATGACAGTGCCTAAGGTGATTTGAGAGCAAGGCTGACTATGCCAAGCTTTCACATTAACACAGGAATCAGCATACATTTTAAAACATTAGATCTGCTTCCCGTCCGCACGGATAGGATTATTTGATTGTGCACATTTTGTTAGCTTAAAGGGTCCCGGTATTGTAATGCTGGAAGCAAAAGTGAAATGGTTGAAGTAATGGAGAAGTCTGTATGCTAATAATTTAAAGCATTAATTTAAAAATTATCTAAGGTTGTCATATTACCTGACTTTGGAAGCTATGGAGTGTGTCTTTCACCACAGAAAATAGTAGGATTGTAGATACTGAAAATCTTGAATATCAAGTTCAAAACAGACAGTGGAAGTAGATGATCATGTCAAGTTAAGCTTTGCTGGGCTTTTTATAAGCCAGTATTACTGGGTTTCCTAGCCAGTTTTCCTACCTAAAAAGTACAGAAACCTCTAAGTGTAAGTTGAAGCAGTCTTGTGGAAGAGGCTGCAATAAAAAACATAGTGTATATCTGGGAATCCATGCATATTATTATTATTTATTTCAGAGTGAAAATAAACAGTACGTTATGGACAAGTACTAGGCTGCCTCATCCTGCAAGTTCAAATCTGGTGTCATGCAGTTTCAGATTGAACTTGGTGAAATTGTTCACTCAGTGGCCTGTGCAAAGCAGTTTGCACTGTAAATTGGTAGGACATAACCTGGCTGGCAGCAAATATGAAGAAAAATAAATGCATGCCTAGTACCTCAAAGAGCCAGCGTGTGTTCCAGTTATTGCTTTGCTCTTTTTCTTGGTAGCAAAGGTTTCTGCAGAGATTGTATCTAGAGATTATGTCTAAATGAGATCTGTCCTAGTGCTCTGAACCTGGTTGGGGTATTTGATGTGGCCCTGCAAGATAGTGAAATGGAGCTGTGCTGTCCCACTGAGAGTTGCAATATGTTCCCCTCATTTTGCAGGAATAAACTCATAGAATCATAGAATCATAGAATGCTTAGGGTTGGAAGGGACCTCTAGAGATCATCTAGTCCAACCCCCCTGCACACGCAGGGACACCTAGAGCACGTGGCACAGGACTGCATCCAAGCGGGTTTTGAAGATCTCCAGAGAAGGAGACTCCACAACCTCTCTGGGCAGCCTGTTCCAGTGCTCTGTCACCCTCACTGTTAAGAAATTTTTCCTCAGGTTCCTATGGAATTTTTGGTGTTTCAGTTTCCGGCCATTTCCTCTAGTCCGATCAGTGGCCACCACTGAAAAGAGACCATCACCGTCCTCTGCACTCCCTCCCTTGAGGTACTTACAGACACTGATTAGATCCCCTCTCAGCCTTCTCTTCCCTAGGCTGAACAGGCCCAGCTCCCTCAGCCGCTCCTCATACGGCAGATGTTCCAGGCCCCTGATCATCCCTGTAGCCCTGTGCTGGACTCTTTGAGCAGCTCTCCAAGTGGGTTTTGAAGATCTCCAGAGAAGGAGACTCCACAACCTCTCTGGGCAGCCTGTTCCAGTGCTCTGTCACCCTCACTGTTAAGAAATTTTTCCTTAAGTTCCTATGGAATTTTTGGTGTTTCAGTTTCCGGCCATTTCCTCTAGTCCTATCAGTGGCCACCACTGAAAAGAGACCCTCTCTGGGCCCTCATGTTTAGCAAGAGGTGATGGGAGTGCTGTGCCTGCTTCTGATAATGTGCAATGAGGGGGAGGATCATAGTTGGGTATTCCTTGCTGTCCCAGCATAGATGGAAGAGTTTTCTTTTAAGAAGTGGGACTGTGAAGCCATGGCCTTGGCGATCGCTGTTGTTCAGGGCCTTTGTCAGAGAGGAGAAAGGGAGGATGCAGGAAGAGGCAGGAGAAATGACCTTCCTAAACAAAGGATGCCAGTGAAAAGTTGGGAATATGCAGCGTTTTTCAAGCATTTCAGTTGAACAGGTAGGAAAAACGGAGCAGTAAGTTCACAGCGTGCAGCACTCTGGAGAGCTGTGCTTCAGAGAAGAGGGGCAGCCCACGCAATATTGCAGTTTGTGTGAGCCTGAATTGCCCTTCTTCAACTGATCTACCAGGTCCACCCACATCTTACTGCACCAAAGCACTGCTCAGCATCTGAGGGCTGATCTTCACAGGCGCCCTCATTCCTGGCTGCGTCCTTTGTCATCCACCAGGAAGATACTGGAACTCTTTGGAGTTTACACATACGATTGCACTGTGGATCACAGCTTACTGGACTACAGGAGTAGGTGGCAGTATAGGACACAAATCTGAGTTTTATATTTTACTGATTAGTCACTATGAGGTGATAGTATTTTACAAATTACAATAGTAGAAATATATTAAACTGTACTTTGAGAAGGAAAAAGTATGTACCACTCTTTTAAAGTATTTTTAGTCTTTTTTTTTTCTGAAAGCCTCTGCTCTACCTATTGTAATGTTCTTCCTATTAATTTGTTTCTTTCCTGAACATATCTTTATCTATGCAGCAGAAGTATTCCTCTCTTTCAAGGTAAATTCTGTACTGTTTCACATGCCATTGTTCACAAACCTTCATAAATCCACTGTCATTTTATACTCAAACTTAGGAGTGCCTTTCCAGTACAATATGCAAGGAATTTAATTTTCAACTTATATCCTTAATAATTCATCTTTGATTTTATTATATTAAAATGGATTGCATGACATTCACTCATTTTTTCTTTCTAATGAGCTCTTTGAGTATGTTCTTTCTAATGAAATCTATTTTGTATTTCATAGGATAATACTAGTTGAGAGGGAAAAGGTTATTTCATTCCTATTAAAGGACACAATCAATTCCCTAAAGTAACATATTCAAAGATATGTTTCATCCATCTTATTTTTCACTGATTTAAGCAGAAACTTAAAAGACAATGCGCTCACAGGCTGGATAAAACGTGAAGCAAAAGGAGTGAGGCCTCAAAAAGTAATGTATTTTCACCCTATGACTTTAATTAGAGGAAATCATTTCCTAAAAAATATTTCTTTATTCTTTCAGGCCACTCTTTCGTGGAAATTCAGATGTCGATCAGCTAGGAAAAATCTTTGAGTAAGTAATAGCAAGTTGCACTATGTCAATATCCTTTTAATACTGAAACACTGTGAAGTTTCTTTGCTCTTTGCTATGTTTTTAATGCAATAATGTGACTAGAACAAAGTATTCCTAGAACATATTTCCTATTGCTACCGAATGCAACATGATATTTCCGAGTATTCTGGGTCAGAGTGGGAGGAGGAAGCAAC